AATTTGGATATGAAACAGAACTAGGTACCTATACCTATTCCTTTTCCATTACCTGAAAAATGATTTATTGAGCTATTTAGATTGAACAAAAGGTTGATTCGTCTTCTAATACAATCATTGAGACCCCACTTATTAGTGAAATCTCAAATATTCTGTGCATTGAGGTTTCATGCAACTAAATCATAGCAAAGATAGTATACCCTATGTCATCTCTCAGGAGTTCACCAGCCAAGCCCCAGTGAATTTACTTGGCTTGGCCTGCATGATTCACAGTATTTTATTGATGTCACGACTATTAGGCTCTGAAAATCATCCTGTGGCCGTGGCCATGTTCTGTGCTGTTCTAAAAATGTTATTAACATTTCCAAATGGTCATCTCTGAGTTTGAAAGACATCGAAAATTAATTATATATAATATTTATGAAGTAAGAAGTTTATTACACACTTTCGAAGCTGTGCTTTCACATAAACAAGATGATCTAACCTCAAATTAAAATGAAGATGAAGAGAAACATTCGATAATAGATAAGGATATATTGACAAGACGCATCGACTCGACTCGCTATACTAGAAGTTATCCTCTCAAAATACAAAATACTTCTCTTTATAGATCATGTTCTCCTGATAAAACTGAAGCACTGCAGCACTGTGTATTATGGGTTTTGGAATCTTTAACTCATCAAAATGCTTCATCGGGAGTCTAGCTCCAAATATAATTTTCAGATGAAGTCAAACCACACACAATAGCTGTCATTTCTTCAATTGCCGATTGATTCAAAATGTCCGAGTACCTAAGTCTATGGAGATGATAAGGACAAAATACCTCTTGCAGTTCATGGCCTGCTGATAATGATGATCCGTTGTTTGTGCCTGTTGATGCCTTTATCCCATAGCAAATTCCGAACCAACTGAAATGTCAGGTAATTCGATTCAAGATACGTATCCAAGCCGATAAGACAGAGCACTGTGCTTTGTGATCGATCGTATGTGTAAAAAAAAATACGTTACGCATGTTCAATCAACAAATATTCACCATGTGTGTGGTTCCACACACAATTGTGGCTTCAAAAAGCCTGTTCCAGATCAGGAAAACATGATAACCTGGAAGGTATATTGTATATTCTCTCACACATCGCATTTGTAAGTTGTTTGTAGGTAGGTACTTCACTTATGTTCATTGTCTCAGTAGCTTTTGTATTTTTGTTTGTTTTACGTATTCCAAATCTCACCCCAATCGGCATGGAAGTAGATAATGAAATAATTGTTCAAATCTATACTGATATTGAAAAGAGGAAACATTTTGTTTACCATTATAGAAACCGACATTATCTCTGATATCACAAATTTTTACCGTGGAAAATGTTTCATTACTACGAGAAAACCAATGAATACCTACTAATGGACTATATATTTATCTTCTTCACATAACTTCTAAACGGCTGTATCGATTGTGTTGAAATTTTGTATGGGTATATTTCGATGGTTTTTGAGTTTTTGAGAATAAAATTGAAATGTTGTGATCTCATATTTCCCCTCCAGGAGTGTAGCTTCGATTTTATCAATATTCAACCTTGACCAATATTCTGCAATATTTATTGACTATACAAACTGTAGATATTATAATAAAAGAAGCGTGTATGTGTAGAATGTTTTATAATACGTATCACCTATCTGTGAAAAATTTTCATACAATGGCAAATAATAATCCAGGATATGAAAACTACGAGTAGTAAGTTAGTTTCTGAATGCTCGCTGTTTAATATCCTGGATTTTTATTCTCCACGGTATTTTTCTTCTGTTTTTGAATGAAGATAGACATAATCTGTAAGATTCAAGTTCAATTTCAGACTTTAAATCAAACCTCTATATCGGTATCAACGAATACCTTTCGAGATTATGTGTTCCTGATACAAGGAAGGCTGGCATCTGCATTGCCAGCAAACTATTTTGCCGACAGTGCCCCTCTGGGGTATTTTTATCGAACACTCACAGACTACACATATACAACAGCCAGAATTATTCATAGGTACAACCAAGCAGGACTGTGCTGGAATGCTGGAAACGATTCGAGTTGTACCCGTTTCACCTGTTATATACGTATCCATCTTGGGTTTCCTTCTTCCATAAGTAGTATTAGATGAATCGATTGTTTTTGACGAAGGTTCCAAAGCACAATCCTCAGCATTAGGGGATGCAAATCAGTCGCTATCTAGAGTTCAACTCCTACCTAGAGTTTTTCTGGGCAGTAGGTATTATAGAAATCTGTATGCATTGAGGGATCGTCGTGGTTAGCGAACAATACCTGATCAACCATTTATTCCTTTATGTTTCCCTGATACTGATTGATGAAATCAGACTTGTGTAAGTGTTTTGGGGGCTTATGGGAGAAACATTTCTTAGGTCGAACCACACACCACCACTCATGAAATTGGATTTGCTTCTCTTGTTCAGTTATGTTTCCCTATTACTTCTATATGAACTCAAACCTGTGAAGTGAACTTAGCACACAAATCAAGTTGACAGTTTTTTCAATAAGTGAGCCGTTTTTATTAACTTTGTGCAGAATATGTCTGGAAATATTGTTCTGACTTCGCGAGAGAATCTACCTAGGTTCCTAGACGATAAATTGTGTTAGGTATTTAGAAAAGAATATGAAATAATGTGACATTTTCGAAGTAATCCCGACTTGAACTACCGTTGTGGGATTCTGTTTCCCTGACTTTCTTCCCTGATATCAAATCTGTTGTTGACTAGAGATTGGCCGATTTTCAGGTTGACCTGAGTTATTTCCTGGAAATAACCCACTGCTGATTCTGAGGCCCCAATGGATATTAGGCTATTGGTGAATCATATTTGCATTTTGCCTTCAGAATTTCAAATCGATTGGTATGATTGGTTGACTTTGTTGTTCTTATTCATAGTCTCCTGTTACTAAAACTGGAGTTACGTGGTTTTGCAAAACATCCAGACGTTTTCTGTCAAACCTTCTTTTCACTGGCTATCTTTGCTTCCGATCAAAGATTTTTCGTTTGGAAGAGCACAAATGGCACCACAAAATTTTTCACCGTTCATGAGTTTGGTCATTTTCAAAACTTGAAGTGACTCTTGTTTGGGTGTGTATTTTATTGTTTCACATTCAGTTGTTACAGTCTCAAGCACACTTAAGTCAGCGTTTAGTAGGAACAGAAAAGCGTAACCAACCTAAAATTGAACAGGATCACATACTCTCAGAGTAGATATCTTGTAAACGAGTAAACAAGCCGATATTGGATGCACACCTGATCTTTGGATTTATCTATCATAGTATTTTCTAATCACTGATTCATCAACATTTGATTCTGATCATTTGTAGCTAATGATCCATCAGTATTTCTTCATAATAGTCTTCCTCACAAATTCAAATGTTTGCTCATCAATAAGGATTAATATCAGAATAGGTATTTTCACAATGTACTATGGATGGAGTGTACAATTCTAAAAATACAAACCTGTACAAAACGAACATTTTTTTTTCATTTCCTTGAAGATCGAAAGTGATACTTTTGATTAGGAAAATAGGATATCTTAGGAGATTACTTGAATGCCGACAATAATCTGGTGATAAATACAACAGGTCAGGTTAGGTTATGACTCATGAAGAATTTAGCATCATGAAGTAGATATCTGTTGGAGAAAAATGTGTCCAATTGGGTATATGATTATGATTACTGTTAAGAATGTGGAGATACCCATTAAAGACTTTCAATATTCACACCTATTTTTATATCAAATGTAAAAAGTCGATATATTTTTATAAGCATATGTATCGGAGTTCGAAGTTTGATAACAGCTGGGGTACCTAATGCAAACAATTTCACTTATTATTGATTTTTGTAAACTTTTTTCTTAACATAAGTACGACAAAATGAGCTTAGTGCTTTCGAATCACTGTATATAAATACATGAATGATTGTAGAAACCTATATACAGTTGATTGTTGAGATGTAAAGTATGTTGCAGCCATTTTGTCTCAATGTACCCCGCATTCACAGATTTGAATTCATTTTTCCTTATCAGGAGAACATAATCCATAGAGATACAAAATGCTATGACAGAAAGGATCAAACAAACGGAAGTATTCGTAAGGAGCTTCAAGGAGATGAATCACAAGCCCCTCTTTTTCATTAATTTTTTTTCTCCTCAGATGGCATCCAGTCGTCATCTTGAAATTATCATCTGTCAGTTTCACTCCAAAATATAGTATTTATCAATTTTTTTGTTGACCCATTCGAGAAATAAAGAAATGCGCTGTATAAATAGTGAAATTGTAAGTGTTCAAAATCACAAGAATTTCAATATAAAACGAAATTAAATGGAACATAATAATATATATTTATTATAATGTATCTTAGACTCATCCAATGAATTGGCTTTCTTGGAAGAGCACATTTTTCAATCAATTTTCTTTCTGACAATTTGTCATATTATGTTGATTACTACCGGAAGGAACTCTTTTTCTGTACCTATATTTGAAGTTGAATCTGATAATCAGAAGATTGTTTTCATTCTGGGTAATATGTCTGTATTTTCTGTCATATAACATTTATATATTTCGTTGCAAATATACCTGCTATATGAACCATTTCATTATTAGTCAAACTGATAATCTTTTTATCCACGAATCATGACCTGAAATTAGTTCTGTGTGAAATAATTGAAAGTGTTCCTTGAGCAACGTAAGGGCAGCATTGTGGACTCCTTCTTTTGACATTTTGAACAAATGGGGTCAGATTTTGGGACGCAGTCCGGTCCTGTTTACTGCTACTGCGCACTGCTATTGATTTTCTAGCAGGGCCTTGCTTCCCAGAGGAGTTACAGCCTCCGCGAGGAGAATGAACTGTCATCCTAGAAATCCCCAATGCCTACCTAGAACTCATTAAAATTTGGAAAAAATCCAAACTATAGAATCATGGTCTCGACAGGTGGTGTTTGGTGAAAAAAATCGTGAAAAATCTAGAATTATGAAATTTGAGTGGGTGCTTATTATTTTCGTTTTGTTGTGTGTCGAATACTCCTTTTGCAATCCGGATGCCAAAAGGCTTTACGATGATTTGCTTAGCAATTACAATAGACTGATTAGGCCAGTCAGTAACAATACGGATACCGTTCTGGTGAAGCTAGGATTGAGATTATCCCAACTGATTGAACTGGTAAGGATACATCAAAGTTATCAGATCCTCTCCCGTTCCCTTTTCAACTATAAAGTACCAAATTCAGCATGTTTATTACGTATACTTCTTCTTCTCCAAGCTTCAAGGAAGTGGCTTTTCTATGACATTCAACAGTTTCACACTGCAGCAAAAAATGTAGATTGACTGCATAGTGAAGTAAAGTAAATACCTATTACCTTCCACTGGTACTCATGGAGGCTGGTATTTCATCTACAACATATTTTCATTCTTTTGACATTATATAAATGAATTTCTCTTGCATCCATCACTATTATAATAGTACCCACTCTTGTAAAATGAGGTCTACTACTACAAATATATAACTATTTCTTAACATTTTTCTGCATCATGAGTATGATATGTCTTCTGAAGGGGACACAGAAGATTTTCTTATTTATTTAACAAAGTTCCCATTTTATATTTGAATTCAGATTCAGATTTTGAATAATGAATCCAAGAGGGGAAGTATTCGTAACTGTTGTGTCGTCCTTTACATGGGTTTGCATCAAGAGCCCAACTGTGAATGATTGATCAAGCAAGATGTCTGAAGAATGCTTTTATAGAGGGGGACAAATCATCAAAATATCGAATAACGATTAGTAGGCGCTAAATAACCCCAAGTAGGTTCGTCAAATATTATTTTCGTGGCAGACTCACAGTAGTTTTATTGGTAGTGAGTGCAGTTCTATGCGATGAACCTCGCAGCCACAAGCATATAACTCACTTGTAATAGTTCAGCTAGACAATATTTCAAGGTGCTGCTTCTATTCGAAAATGTATAACGGTAATATGATTTCTTGTAATGGTAGCAAGAAATATCTCAGCATAAACTCTAATAGCACAATTTTCCTCAGTGTATAGTTGACTCCCTAACCATCTTCATATAAAACCTAGTCGCATTTGAACTTGATGTACTACACTGTTCATACTATCTTATTTCATTTCAGAACCTGAAAGATCAGATTTTGACCACCAATGTTTGGTTGGAACACGTGAGTTGTGGAAATATTAGGGTCAACTCCTATAGATTACATTGATTTCAGGAATGGCAAGACCACAAATTCATGTGGGATCCCCAGGAGTATGGAGGAGTCACAGAATTATATGTTCCATCAGAACATATATGGCTTCCAGACATTGTTTTGTATAACAAGTAAGTTTGCTGCGATATATTCATTTTATACGCTCGTTCGACTGTTAACATTCCTAGTAGAGATGATTAGGTATCTAACAAAATTGCATGGAAGCATTTGCTCTCTAAACCTCTTTTTTCTAGTGCTGATGGAGAGTATGTTGTCACTACGATGACTAAAGCAGTTCTGAGACATACAGGCAAAGTTCTGTGGACACCACCAGCAATATTCAAGTCATCCTGCGAAATAGACGTAAGATATTTCCCATTCGATCAACAAACCTGCTTCATGAAATTTGGTTCCTGGACATATGATGGAAATCAGGTAATCTGATTCAATTCCCAAGTTATCAACTCATAAATCCCAGTCACAATAAGTTTTCTGCAGATCGACCTAAAACACATCAATCAAAAACTTGGTGAAGACAAAGTAGAAGTTGGTATCGATCTGAGAGAGTACTACCCCAGCGTCGAGTGGGACATCCTAGGAGTACCAGCTGAGAGGCATGAGAAGTACTACCCTTGTTGTGCGGAACCATACCCAGGTCTTTATCTACTCAGCCATTCAAACAGTCACTAGCTTCAACAAATACTGTTTCAGATATCTTCTTCAACATAACACTGAGAAGAAAAACCCTGTTCTACACTGTCAACCTAATAGTACCCTGCGTCGGCATATCATACCTATCGGTACTGGTGTTCTATCTACCAGCTGACTCTGGAGAAAAGATCGCCCTGTGCATCAACATCCTCCTCTCGCAAACCATGTTCTTCCTGCTCATATCAGAAATCATCCCTTCCACTTCCCTGGCCCTACCCCTACTGGGAAAATACATCCTCTTCACCATGGTAATGGTTGGGTTTTCTGTGGTGATCACCATCATCATCCTCAACGTACACTACAGGAAGCCTAGCACCCACAAGATGGCGCCTTGGGTGAGGAGCTTCTTCATCAAGAGTGTGCCGAAGCTGCTGTTGATGAGAGTGCCCAAAGACCTTCTCACCGAGCTGGCGGCTAACAAAATACCGATGAACAGGCTATCGATGAAGATCAAGAAGAGAGAGATAGATGCCATGCCTTCGAGCAGGTCTTCTTCTTCTAGCACTTCTAGCTCTAGCATGAACCGGGCTGGCTGCAATGGATTGCACTCTACAACAACCACCAACAGGTAATGAGAGAGAATGATAGCCATTATTGCGAGTGGTGTACTCTACTTTATTTATGGCTAGTCCAGTTATTTGAGATGCTCTAATACAAACATTCTTTATTCACTCAAGGGATTCCCTATTTTCGGGGAAAAAGTGTTACTTCATGTTAGCGACTAGCAACTAGATGCGCTACTGCTCAGTGGAATGTGCTTAGATCAGAGCCTATGACAGACATGTGTGAAGACTGGCTCATATAGTGTTGGGCAGGCAGCCGAATTAAGAGCAAGTGTAACCTTTGTCCACGTCATTTGTGCTCGTGTTTATTGAATTATGATCATAATATAACATCAGAAGTGGGATGAACTCATGCCCCGGTGAAGTGACAAAATGCAATTATTTTTTCCACTTCAAATCCCTAGGGATTGTATTTATACACTACCGTTTGGTAGCATTTGGATTTTTTTTCGTTATTTTTTCTCTAACGTTTCACCTATCCTGAAGTGCATAAAAAAGTATATACACCTCGAGACTGAAGTGTATTTGAATCCCTCGAGAAATTATAGCCCTCCTGTTGGTCGGGCTATAAACTTTTCGTCTTGGGATTCGAAAAAGCACTTTATTCCCTAGGTGTATAATGTACTATTATTGCCATCCATATCAATACAGATACACAAACAGTACGCGTTTGACATTGACACTTCTGAGTTTGTTCATATTGTTTTCATGGTCTCATTTGAGACAACTAAGACTCGGAATGATTTTCAAAATATCCATGAGCTCGAAAGAATTTCCGGAAATTATTTGACCTCTAGTGGCTTTATAAGTGAAAATTCAATCACTTGTGGCCTTACTGTTTAGTAGTCTTTAGCAAAGCTGTGGATGGACACTCCAAACAGATCATTGAAATGAGGCAGTAACAATGTTGGTGTTTAAATCGATCCATGTGGAACCACATGGAACCATCGGCCTTTATCAGTCCAAAACAGTCAAAAAGTTTTTTTCTTTTAGGTTGAGAAGCTTCGCTGGGACACTGAGTGAAAGGTTTGGATACAATGGATTACCATCAGTGTTTTCTGGGCTAGATGAGAGTGACTCTGGTGCAAGAAAAAAATATCCTTTCGAGTTGGAAAAAGCAATACATAACGTGATGTTTATACAACATCACATACAAAGACAGGACCAATTCAACGCGGTAAGATAATTTTGTCAATTCCTGGTGATACAAATTTGATAGTCCCTACTTCCCTACTGATATTATAAATGTGAATGTGAGTTTGTTTGTCATGCTTCTACGCCGAAACTACTCAATCTTTCATCATGAAACTTCGTAAACATATTCTTAGATGTACTAGGAACGACAAGAAGAACTTATTATTGAAAAAAAAATACGGTGGGTAAAAAATGTATTTTGGCGGACATGATTGTTGCACACGATATACCCAACAATCAGACATGGAACTCTATTAGTCGGTTCCTTAAATATAATTTATCAGAATTCGTCTTCAATTATTCAGATGTTGAAATGGAAACGACCAATATCCAACCTTACATCAAACAGGCACTTCGAAGGCGCAAATTCATTACTGTATTGGAAAAACTCTGCAGATTTTTTGCTTTTCAGTGATTTGACTACAAATGACATTGACCTTTCAGTCTTCTGCGCAATCAACTCGCACTAGCTCAATACTACCCATATACTACTTGAATGTGGTACATCTAGAGACGAGGCCCCACAAATAAACCATGCGGAAACATGTTGTTGTAGTGACATACACTTTTGTTGTAGTGCATTATTTCAATGAAGCATGTTTTCAGATTTTGAAATTTCATGTATTTTATAATTTTTGAATATTGAATCACATTGATTCATCAGTTGTATTGAAATGTAATGATCTTTGATTATTTACTGGCTTCAAAACGAGCGAAGTCATGGGTAATACCTAGTATGTTATAAACATGAGATATAAGTCCCTAGAATACAAGTCCGCCCTACAAATACAAGTCCGCCCTACAAATACAAGTCCTTGAAGAAGTCTCTTGGTTTCTTGGGGTAATAAAGACAATCAATCAATCAATCAATTATTATTAGAAAGAGGCATACATCAACTAACTAGATAAGCCTGTCATTAGCAAGATACTCACGTCGGAAAACCACGGAATAAAAAAAGTGACATCGGAAAAATACAATAGAATGTTGTTTGGAAAACATCAGAATAATATCAGAAAAACATCGAAATAACATCAAAATGACGTCAATGTAACATCGAAACAATATCTTATGAACATTATTGGCTGTTTTCGGTTGATATGTGTTTCTTTATAGGAGGATCAAGACTGGGGATTCGTAGCCATGGTTCTGGATCGTCTTTTCCTTTGGATTTTCATCATAGCGTCCATTGCTGGTACAATTTCTATTCTGTGCGAAGCTCCTGCCCTTTATGATGACACCAAACCCATCGATATGGAGCTATCTTCTGTAGCCCAACAACAGTTCCTTCCAGATTTCGAAAATATGCAATAATGGAGAGTATTCACTAGTATTTTTCTCGAGTTCAGACATAAAAATTTGCTTGTGAAAATCAGGTTGAAACCTGCGGGTTCACGTTTTCTCTCAACTATCCTTTGTGTTCGATCCTGAACTAGGAATTGATTTATGAAACAATTGAATTGATATTCGAAAACTAAAAAGTCTAATGAGAAGGTGAATAAGAAATTTGGGAAATGACTTCAATATTTTGAATTAATCGTTTGTATTTTTGTTTATGAAGGTTTCTGTTGGTATTAATATTTCATTCGTGGAAGTACTTTGTAGAATAAATCAGCAAATTGGTATTATATGTGATTTTCAAAATTTTCTGGACTGTTGTAAATATTAAAGTATTATCGAAAATTCAGACCTTGTTGGAATAGTTAGATAAAATTCAATTGCCACCTTGATTTTGGGACAGTGAAGTATTGTATTACCTAGAGTAAAGTACTATAATTTGTTGTGACCAAATTGGTTTACCTCATAGGTATTAATTCTCCAATAAATATTTCACATGATATCGTGACAATGAAATTGTTGGTAAATAATTTATTAAAACTTGTAGAAATCTGAGGCCGTTATTGATTCTCCATTGAACCTGATATTTCTAATATTTCGAGGTTGATGTACAGTGGACTGGAAGTTTTGAAAATGATTCATCTTTCAATTGATATTCTTTGAGTTTTGGCGTCAATGCAATCAAAAAGGATATGATATCGATATTTTTTTCTCCGAAGAAAAAAAACCCCAACCTTTATTTTTTCATCTGTTTATTCACACATCCAATTTTTCAACAATGTGCTCAGTGGTAATCTCTCAAGAATTCATATATCTATATATACAGTGTGTCCACGATAAGGAATTACTACTCCTGTAAAATCGTTAAAACCTGGTCGATTTTGATAAGCTATTTTTTGTTGAATAAGTATTTGAAATACCCATAACATGAGAGTGATTCAATTCTTGGACTGTTATTGTGACAAATTGCGACCAGTTTTGTTGACCCATATTTCAAAAAGTTCTCTCATTTTTTTTCACAAAAAATAATGAAGAATCCTGCAATATATCGATTTTCATCATTATTAAACACAGGGTGTCCGAAATACCGAATTATTATTTTTTTAATAGATGATCAGAAAATGTATACTACTGTCGTATTTTTCGAAAGAATCAATGATAAATTATTATTGGGGACTACTTTGAATATATCAGTTCCGAGTTTCATAATTCAAATATACGATGTGTCAGAGAGACAATAAATAAAAAAGAATAAGTCTGCAATAATTTTTTATCAATTCATTAAAAATTGTAATCTATCTTTTCAGACACCCTATGTATAATGATGATGAGAATCGGTACAAGTATGTTTCACCTGATCCCTATTCGGAATTCATCATTATTTTTGAGTAGTAGTAAATATAGCCTACTTACCCTACTTGATTCTTTTTAAATTGTTTAAATTGGTACTGGATTGTATATATTAACTATTATATTTATTTCATTATTTTTTATCTATAAAATAACGGTATGCAGAAGTTGAATACTGCAATGATGCCTTTTCCACAGCCCTTATCAGAAGTTCTACAGGATGATCCCTATATAAAAGCGTGACAATCCACAAACTGATTTTTTTAATTTTTTTTCGGAATCTGTGATGTTTTGTGATTCCAGTTTTATATCTCCTATTTTCACTTCATCATCTTCACTTTTTTGATCCCAGAAAATTTTTTGTTGGCTTCTACAGATATCGTGTTAGCCATGAATATTTGACACTCATATATTGCATTATTATCGAATACATTCCCAAACTGATTGAGTGGTCACCCAGTTGATGGAAAAAAAAATGTTCTCCCAAGTTATCCTCTACATTTTCTTATCACAAGTCAAAAATAAAAATATTGATTCGTTTTTGCGGACACCCTGTATTTCATGATGATGAAAATCGGTGAAGGCACAGTTTAAGGAAATACCCATTCCTTAAACTGTGGTGAAGGTGTGTTTTAAGTGATCCTGATTCAGAATCTATCATTATTTCCAGTAATGAAGAATATCCAATAGTACTCTCTGAAATATTTGTCAATAAAATTGGTAGTTCAAGAATAAAATCACTCACTTTACGTGAACAGACTGTATATAGAGATAACACAGGGGTGTACTTACTAATATAACATTCATTAAAGTTACTGATATTCTAATTTTCTATCATTTTTAGAGATCCAACGAAACAATATATTTTATAAACTCTATATTATCATGGGAAACAATGTTACAACTGATGGTGTGTATCAGAAGAGAAAAGTCACGCTTAAGATGGACAAAATAATACAATTACTAAGATATAAAATTTCTTGGAAACGATATTTTTTATTCAATATCAATTTGAGAGAGAAGTTTCATCCGAAACAAAATTGGAGTCGAAATGATAAATTAATTATTAATTAATGAAGGAAGCATTCATTTGAAACAATACCCACTATATCAATTTTAATAGGGATATTTCCTTCTGCAACTTTGTATTGTCAGACATGTTATTTTTTCGGTACGCTCCAGTCAAAAGCGGGACACTCTCTATATAAGTAGACACAAATTGCGCTGAAAAATAATGATATAATGGTGATAATGATAAGAAAGATGATGATATCTTATTATTATATCCTATTGAATCATCTCTCCATATTGAATTTTTTGAATTGTTGGATGGAAATGATAGTACTAAGTTTTGTTTATACATAACATAATACATTCTGTTAACAATAAATATATAAATAAAATTTCATTGATGCTACTTTACATTTGGGAGCTACTTATTCATACGATTTGTGTAACTACTAGCATCTAGCTTACTCTTTATACTGGGTGATTTTTCAAGGAGGCTCACCCTTATAACTTTCTCATTATTGAAGATGTACTGACGAATTTGGGGGTGGAATTCAAATGTTTTGATATATTCACTTGCTCTGTCATACTTCTGGTTTGACCGGAAAAGAGCCCAGTTTTCGAATTTCAAATGAGACACCCTATATATTTTTACTTATTTCTATCAAGAATGATATTCTACATTCAGCAATACTTCACTTGTCAATATTTGACAAATCAATTCAATTTTATTTCAATTTGTATTATTCGATCGATTAATCAGCGCATTCATTAAAATATGATGAATTTTTTGAAAAGGATAACAAATTCAACATACGCCAACCATATATTGAAAGAAAACCATTGATATGATGATTTCGAAATCCTACACGTAGAAAATGAACTTTTGTTTCATTTGTTAAACGCAGTGACATTTTGGGACTAACCATCTGATTTGTCTTACTACACATATTATATTGGAATAATACTTTTATTTTTATTTTATAGAAACGAGAAAAGAAAATCCCAAATATTCGATTAAAATTGAAATGACTCCATTTGTCAAATATTGACAATTGAGGTATTGTCGGATTACCAATGTCATTCTCGACCGAAATAAGTAAAAATATACTGGGTGTCAGATTTAAAAATCGAAAATTGTGCGCATTTTCGATCAAACCGGAATAATGAACCACCAAATATCGTTTTTTCATCTTCAATCATAGAAAAGATATTGAGGTGAGTCACCCGGTATAATCCGGTGGTTACATCACGAATGTGGAAACAAGGGGTCTAAAATATTTATGAAATACTACTCGGGATACACATATATCATAAGATTGCTTGGATTTGGTCATGTGCATAAGATTAGAGTTTTATAAGTCTGGATTGGTTCCTTGCGGAATACCTAATAAGTAAATATTAAATGGGTATCAGTGGATGTAGTGCGGAAAGTTCGTCTTTGTCACACACATACAGGGCATGAAATGAAATTCTCTTGCAAAATGAATGAATCTTTGAGACATTTTATGAATACTGGGTGATTCATTAGAAATGGGAAATCTCTGAACTACAGATAGAAAACGAAGAAATAGTGATGCCTGGTGAGAATGTTGCTGGTTTAGGAGATACAGGGTGTTCTAGGGGAAGTTTTAATTTCGAAATTTCACAATAACTTTTTTAGTTTCAACAGCATGAACATGAAATCTTGTATTTCTAGGTTTTCTGAGATGAGGAGTATGAATCTGCAATTTATTTTGTGATTGCTCATAGAGGGAACTAGTGACACTCTCTTACTTCGATAATTTACATCATATCTTTTATGTCAATTCATCGATGATCGAAATAAGTGGAAAATCTGAAAGCTCGTTCAATTTCACATGAAAAATGTGTTATTCGCTCTCGAAAAGATTCATTTTCCACTGTCTGAAATTATAGATAATGAATACCCAAATATAGAGATTCAGCCCAAAATGTTTTATAAAAATATTGCTGGTTTAAGAGATACAGGGTGGTTAAGGAGAAGATTTTATCACAAAATAAGTTGCAAATTCATATTCCCCATGTCAGGAAACCTGAAAATACAAAAATTTATGTTCATGCTGTTGAAACTAACAAAGTTGTTGTGAAATTTTGAAATAGAATCTTCCCCTATAGCACCCTGTATCTTCTAAACCAGCAACATTCTCATCAGGCATATTGGGCTGAATCTCCTTATTTTTGTGATAACTATCTGTGATTCAGAGATTTCCCATTCTGAATGAATCGCCCTGTATAGTGGCTATTAGTAAGAGGGCCGTCTGCAAATTCAGACCGTCATCTGATGTAGAAATGTTATATGTTCCCAAAGTCATGTAACACATTGTATTTTATCGAACGGCACCTGTGCCAATCACCATCCTGTGCAAAATGATTGTAAAATGAAACTTGCCTGTGCGCTAATATAAACTCAATTTCTCAAAAACCTACTTGTGCCAACACTCAATCTGAGCCAAATCTATGGAACACCGCTTTATTTGCTGCCATTATTACGGACATACTTCCATCATGTGATAACGAGTTGAAACAAAAGGTGAATGATAGGAGATAACGTCCCCTTTGCGAATATTCGAACGTGCCGACTTTGAAATTGATCTATGTTAGTGGCAGCGGGTCAATATTTCAGAGAATATTTCGCCTCTGTCGAAAGATAATATCCGATGAACCAGCGTAAAAATCAACATGTGGATCAGAATACTCGTGGTGCGATTACCACATAAGTTTTACACTGGTCCATCGGATATTATCTTTCGATAGGTTTTCGAGATCTACCATTCAATTGATATCGGATGGCATATTTCTCATCTCGTTATCAAATCGTGAAATTGAGTTCAAAATACTGCACAGAAAAGTACGAATTTTCAATCATTTTGCTCATGATAGTGATTGATTGGCACAGGTGCCGTTTGATAAAATACAATGTGTTAACATGCATTTAGGACATATATATCATTTCGTTATCAGATATCGGTCGAAATTGCAATTTAATTTAAAGACGTATAGTCTCATGAAATCAGAAATTGTCTCCTGCCACTCTCTTTTTCCACTACTTCCACTGGAGTAGATCATTATTTTGATTTTGATAACTTCCTGAGAATAATGAGATCAAAAAATGGCGTTCATCGAACTGAACAAGATACTGATTCACCCTTTCTTCGTCTATTTTCAATGACTAATTTTTTTTTCTGTTCTCTTCATCATTACGAAAGCCGTTTAATCCTATATCACATTTATTATTCATCAATATTAACAATAGTTATTTTCCTCCAAAACTTACCTAAAATGAATTCTTCAATTGGTGAAATAATTCATGATATGTTACGAATCATCACGAAAATACTATAGGTGATTCAATGGTTCCTCTAGCCCACTCCATTATGGTGATTTTAACTGCTTTAATAATCAAGAGATAAACTCGAAGTCGCACTCAAAATATATTTTTTTCATATAATAAATCCTACATGTTTCTACTCCTAGGGTCATCATCAGGCTTGTTGGGTGGAAGAAATAACTAAAATTGAAAAAGCTGTGTGTTCCCTCTTTAACCCCCTTCCCTCTCCATATCTCATCAGCTATTGATCAAACGATCCTTATTATTATTATTACGATTATTCATTTATTGGACATTTCATTCCACTTTGAGAGCATTGTGACTATTTCGTAGAGTTGAATTATCAACAAAGTTTGAGGAATATTCCTTCAACTGTGCTATCAATTTGATCAGTTTTTCAGAGACAAACATCATTATGGACAGTGCCGTGTCTTTTGGGGTCGATTTTTCCCATATATATGCGAATTTTCATGAAATTTCTATGGAGGGTTCGAAAAACTACTTTTTTGCGAAGGTAAATAATTATTTACTTCGGAACAGTGACTTCAACAAAACAAAAAGAATAACTGGTTCTTTCTTTCAAAACATAACACTGAGGAGTGTCAAATATGAAAACAGAATTTTCGAAGAAAAATATTTCGCATTTTCATGTTGAGAACGGCAGCAGAATCGTTTCCGAAACGTCCAAAGAAAAGTAAACATTTTTTCAATATATCTTTATTTCTCCTCTTCACATTTTTTCTCGAACGAAGTGTCACTGACAGGCTATTGATTTTTTTTGTTAGGCTCCCTGATAGAAAAAATCGTTAAACGCAGTGGCATTTTGGGACAAATCATCTGATTTGTCCTACTACAAATATATTGAAATAATAATCATATTGTTGTTTTGTGGAAACAAGAAGAGAAAATCCCAAAAATCGGGTGAAAAGAAAAACTATGAAGTTAGTTTTTCTTCAAAAAATGCCTACTACGATTTCAATACTAGCTGACCCTCCATTCGTTGTTTCGCTCAATACATTATTTCTAGGAAAAAGTTTTTCAGTTGATAATTCATCAACACTATTAATACTATTTCATTTTTTACTCATTTTTAGTTTCGCTATCTTCAAAGCGTGTTTCTTCAGTTTTTCATTTTACCATTCATTTTTTACTCCTTTTGAGATCACTTGAATTTCCCAATTTTGATGAAAGAATCATGATCTCTGACCCCAAAAACCCCAGATGGACATTTGGAATAGAATTGGGTCATAATTACAAAACTCATCCGACATATTGGATTCGCCATCTTAAATTTCCTTATTTCCACGAAGGAAACATACTCTCCGATCTCTTTTTATTTCAATAATTCGATTCATTATGATTAGCACCGTCATGCGATAGGCATGCTTCTCATTATGTTTAGTTTTTGGAAACGGAAGCCAAGCAATAATCAGAAATGTTTATCAGAGAGTTCAAAAAACCCAAATACTGAAATGGTTTTTCAAAATTCACTCTTGAATATGCCTAACTGAACTATCTGTTCTCAATTTCAGTTTTTTCTTCTTTTGCACAAAAAACCTGATGATGACACCTAGGAGTCGAAACATGTAGCATCTATTTTATAAAATATATATTTGGAAGAAGATTTTTTTCTAGAGCTTTGACTGCTCTAATACTCGGTTCAGCTATTTCATAGACTCTCCATATTCGTAGATCACCCTGTATATCGTGGAGCGAAAAGCGAAATCTTTTGATTCTGATCAACGTCACGAACTACTCAGCCGATTAATGTAGAGTTCAATCTCCATTCATCCGGTTATCCAACAAATTCTGATGATCCTCTGGGCATACTAAATTGTCAAAAGCGAACCTTTATCCTCGAAAGGTCGTCCCTAGATAGGACTAACTTCTGTTTATACCCCAAATCAGAAGTTGTGACTTGGTTCATTCAATTTGTGTGATTGGAATTCAAACCAGAAATTTGATACATATTAGGATCTCACGTGAATCAATTAAGTTAGAAATGAAAAATAGTATAAATTGGACAGTGGTATATAAAAAATATAGTGAATAAGTTAGATACAACTCTGCACTTGAGTATAATGAATCATTTCTTCAGATATGTTCTGTGAATCTAGCAACTTTATTTTAGCGTGTTTGCCCAATATCAGTCCCTCAAGTGATACTCAAATGCCAAGTCGAGAGAAGTTATTTTTTTTATGATCAGTGCTCTTATAACGTTACGGGTCATACTCTCTAACATTTACAAAAATATGTCGAACTACCCTAAATCTGCTGAAGATCAACTCATATCCTAACAAACAGAGGCCTGCTGTTCGATGAAATGTACAAATTCTTCCTGCAGAAGCTGAATTTCTCCACGTTCTCACTGATTGTATAAATAGAAGAGATCCTCAGACCGCTCTTGTTGGGAATGATCTGGAAACTGGGCTGAAGATTCATCGAGCTTTCTTGACCCTGCAAGAGCAGAGGCCTCTTCTGGGAGTCTGACTTGGATCTGCTGAAGAAGTTGGACATGTGCTTGGGGGTAGATAATCTGATGGAGAGGGGTCGTTTGGTGGAGGAGAATGGGGCTTTACCATGCAGGAAGGCTAGCTCGTTCTTTCTTCTATTCAGGACGTTGTTGTAGACGTTGGTGTCTTTGTTGCTCTTCCCGAAGTTGTTGTAGTAGAATTGGAGTATGCCTCCCGAACTGTAAGAATAGAAATATTTATAAGCAGAGAAGCGGGTTCACCTAAGCCATTGAATACTTTTTTATGAAAAAGTAGCTGACCTGGCAAATGTTATTCTGCTACATTACTAGCCTGAATAACTTCGTTCAAGCTCATTGTGGAGCGGAGAAAAATAATCACCTGGTGCCTTCCTTGCGGCTGCTATTATTCCTTTTGTTATTCTGCTTGTTCCTAACATTATTCTGGATCATAGTCCAGGGGGTGGGATTGGGGTAGTACAATTTTCTGAGGGTGCCGTTCTGTTGCTTGAACTGACAGTTACAAGACGTTGTAGCTTGACAGGCGACCTCGTTGAGGTGTCACACCTCCTGCAGGAATTTCACCGGACAAATGCCCTGTCGGTTGTCCCCGGAGCGGATCATTACCATTCCATCTAATTCTTCGCCTATCTGGATGACTATTTGGTCCCTCAACAGCATCAGACCATTTTCTCCATCGGATACTTGAAGATTATGAGTCACCTGGAAATTAGGATTAGTTGATGAACATAATATTATCTGCGCTCCAAGAGAAGAAAACATATATGTCAATTTAGGCTAACTACTGAATTCACAAATCACTTTCCTCTCTTATCTTCAGTCTCTAGTTATACTAATTCTCTATAATAGTTTCTGGTAGTCTGTAGTCTCCACGTTGTCTCGAGTCTCTCATTTCTTTATTTTTGTTTTTAGTATTTACGATCGCTAGTCTCTAGTCTCTAGTCTCTAGTCTCTAGTCTCTAGTCTCTAGTCTCTAGTCTCTAGTCTCTAGTCTCTAGTCTCTAGTCTCTAGTCTCTAGTCTCTAGTCTCTAGTCTCTAGTCTCTAGTCTCTAGTCTCTAGTCTCTAGTCTCTAGTCTCTAGTCTCTAGTCTCTAGTCTCTAGTCTCTAGTCTGTAGTCTCTAGTCTCTAGTCTCTAGTCTCTAGTCTCTAGTCTCTAGTCTCTAGTCTCTAGTCTCTAGTCTCTAGTCTCTAGTCTCTAGTCTCTAGTCTCTAGTCTCTAGTCTCTAGTCTCTAGTCTCTAGTCTCTAGTCTCTAGTCTCTAGTCTCTAGTCTCTAGTCTCTAGTCTCTAGCCTCTAGTTTCCAGTCTCTAGTTTCCAGTCTCTAGTTTCCAGTCTCTAGTTTCCAGTCTCTAGTTTCCAGTCTCTAGTTTCCAGTCTCTAGTTTCCAGTCACTATAGTCTCTATAGTCTCTAGCCTTTTGATTATAGTCTCCTCTCTTTAGTCTCTAGTCTCTAGTTCAAATGATAATATGATTATTTTTCCTCAAATTCCATAATTGTGAGGACAATGAATATTCTGGTATGCATCTGCAGAGGACATCATTATTTCGATAAAAAAAATTGATAGAAGTGATAGTCAGATTGAATAGCTGGTATTGTTTCACCTGTAATGGTTTCTCTCCTGATGACAATTTGGAAACGTACTTGGATGGAAAGAATCCAACCTTTCCAAGACACTTTCCTTTCCACCAATCAGAATCCGACGTGTCGATTACAGTTACTTTGTATCCAGCTTTGAGGTCGAGTTCATCTTGATGTCTCGATTTGAAATTGTACAGTACTACATATAGATTCGTGGGCAGTAATCTGTGAGATTTCTGTAATGAAAATCACTCAATTATCACGCTATCAAGCTAGCAGTGTTCCTAAATAATAAATCACCAACGGTTTTTATGCTGGAAAAAATATAAATGATTTATTCTAGGGTGTTTGACTGTGATGACTGTGTGAACCACGAAATACTGGTGCTGAAGCTTTACCACTATGGATTCAAGAATGTCTCTCAGAAATTTATAGAATCATATTTGTCACGTCGAAGCCAAATTGTGAAAACGACAACATACTGCGATGAGTTGAATGTTGAATGTGGTGTGCCTCAGGGGTCAATACTTGGACCAACGCTTCGCTTGCTCTATATAAATGACTTGGTCAGAACTGAGAAATCTGTTCGCGGAAGATATATAAGATTTTTCCAGCATGATAAAAATGTCGAAACACTTCTTGATATTATGGTGTGATTCAAATCAGTTGGTGATGAATCTGCCAGAAACTAATATGATGTCATTTAAAGGTGAATCAGACGAGGTAGTCATCGGTGATGATACTATAGAAAACACCAATAATACAAAATTCCTAGGCATTGAAATAGATTTCAGATTGGAACTTGATCAACAACAAGGGATAAAGAATAAAAAATCCAACACACATCTCCCCTCCCTATCCTCCCTAGGTATGTTCCACGAACATTATAGGAATTTCCTCTCGTGCGCTCCAAGAAATAAAAAAGCACTCTGTTCGACTAAACCCTATTATGGTATACAATGCTTTTTCTATTTCCATTTTAACCACCATGAAATCAATCTCAGTACGAATATTTTGATATGTTGTAATGTTTCCTTATGAACGATTTCAAATTGTTGTTGTGGTGTTGGTAGCGATTCCCTCTAGTTCTAGTTTGCATTTATTGTTCTAACGTTATTATTTTCTACTCTCACTTTGTCAATAAGATTTCACATCTTTAGATAACAAAGCATATTCTCTCTTCCTCTTTTCAACAAGCCATCTAATGTTACTTTCATTTCTGCTGTAGATTATGAGACTTACTTTTCCTCCAACGGGACTAGGACAGGGCGACGTGCTGGCTGATGATGGACTCTTATCGTTATCATCTGGCAGTTCAACGGAGGACATTCTGATATTTTTGGCAGACAAAAGACGGCGATTATGAACTGGGCTAGAAGGTGCTGAAAGATATCAAATCAAGTCAGTGTATGAAGCATTAAGATGGACACTGGCCTGTCAATTGCATACCGAAGATTGCTATTTCGTGAATATATTATTTTTTGCTCGGCATGATTGAAATGAGTACCCACCACATAATCTACAGAAATGCATAAAAATGTACAAATTCACAATAGTACTACAGATACAATTATTCTGCTGTGTGCAAATAAACTGAAAAACCACAAACCTAGTGACTGTTCGTGGTTACAGTGATAGCTAACGTTACCGAATAATATAATCTAGTTCTTAATTGCTAAAGATCCTAAATAGAACAGTGTTCGAATTTGAATTCAAGTGTGGTGAAATTCTAAAGAAACGGTAAATAAATAACCAGCATTAAATAACTAACATACGATATGCACTATAGACTATAAAGAAGATAGTGATAGAGAATGATAATGAAAAATATTCTACTCAGGAAGCTCAAAAATCAGAAAGAGTGAGTTATCAAATTTCTGTCATTCGTGAGCAAAATGAATTTGACTGCTCTTCTGAATCGGTATAATTACTTCGTTTTTGCAATTTTCTCTGAGAGGAAATTGTAGAATCGGGGGCTTAAGTACATGAAAGATTTTTGTCCAATTGTTTTTTGAGTATCGGGAACTTGAAATTAATTTTTTCTTCAGTTCTTGTCGAATGCGAATGGAAGACAATTTCAAAGTTTCTTCTATTTCAAAATATGTATATTAGTGTTTTCAGAAAAAATGTGTGTCGGAGGTCTAACACAGATATATCCCGGAATATTTTTCCTTTTCTGAGAATTATCTTCGAAAAGTATTTCTGAACTATTTGTAATTTTTCCAGGTATATATCTGTAGTTCCCCCCAAGCAAGTATACCGTAAGACAATCTAGACTCAATGACCGATGGCAAGCCAGAGACAACTGGTGTTCTATACTGATTGATGGTTCATGAAATCATATGAATAGCAAAGCAAAGTATGTCAGTTTGGTATAAAATATTCATAGCAGTATTTGTTAGAATGAATTGCTCATTTATAATGAATGCTTTTTTTGCTTCGTGAACATGAAATAGTCTAGCAAAATTCAACTCTGTTCTGAATATCTTCTAATAATCGTCCTTAAAAACTTTTGTCATCGAATATCAACTACATGTATATATATTTCATATTGTATCTCCTTCACATAGGTTAGTGACCTGTGTGTGAGAGAGATGAATTATTTCACGTATAAAATTGTATTTCCACAGTATAAATACTTGAACTGAAAACGAATAATCAATTGATACATTGATGAGACTGAATTGAAATGAAGAGAAATATTGTTGATTGAAAAAGATCATCCATCTTTTTCCCATTTCCTGTAAGCCATGCAACTTTCAACTTCTTTTCTGAAAGTTATTATATTCAAGCGTTTCAATTTTCATGGTATTTGAAAATAAATTTTAGATCCAATAAAACTAGAATTTTCTTCTAAGATTCTGAGCTTATGTTTTTCAAGTCGAACATTATTGATTTTGTTTCTTGTATCAAAAAAATGGTTGATTTTGTTGGTTATTGCCGACGCCTTATAGAATGGTTGCCTCACATTCAATATATTATTTTCTAAAAATGATAATGCTGAGGGATAATCAAATGATTTACGGTATAATATTCACAAAACATATTTTTGTATACATAATAAAGGTTTTAGATGAGTTTCGTATGCGGAAAACTGAGTTAGGTTTATTTCAACTAAAAAGTAATCGTTCAGTAAAAATTGTTCTGGACAACGGAAAATTAATACTTTCACAAAGTATCATATTACCCCCTCAAGGGTTGCGAATTGGCAAGGATATTGCAATGAATATTCATGAGTGTTGGAGTTTATATTTAATTATGATGACTTCTGAATTTTTTTAGGTTAGCTGGATATCGTTTAAACCTCTAGGCTAGATGATGAAAATATTTGGTGCTACAACTTCAAGTTGGTTGAACTTTTCATATCCTCTGACGCATTTGAAATAGATACTACTTAAAGTGATATCTCTTTGATTACATTTTTATTCACACATGAAATAATGGAGACACAAATAACTACATGTTGGAGATGCATACTTGATTCCTCATTTATCTCTTCGCTCCTTTTCACATGATTGAGAACAGCTTTTGATGTTAATTGGAAAACTGAAAACATGCAAAAATCAGTAAAACAGAAAAAAACAAGATATAGTAAACGAAACATACACAGAGTCTACATAGCAACCTAGTTGAGAGGGTTGATTATACAGGGTGCCCATTTTTCGAGCTCCCCAGGATGGGGATTTCAGTTATTATTAGAGATACGAGGTCGGTTCAATTTACCTCCAAGTAAACTCGATGTGTCATTCTCAGTTTATAAATTATTTGGGAAGAACGAAAGTTTGTAATTTCCGTTTTTATTTTTTCAAGCGGAAATCAGAAGACCTAGACGTTTCTGACTAGAACATTCTTTAGGCACTTTCTCACAAGGAATCTGAATCAGTCATCGTATTTTGCATGACATTCTTGAAGCCATAGGTAAAACACTCAACTTTGTTTCTTCTCATGGGCGCCATATTGGATTTTTGCTTTTTTGAAATAGTAGATTGTTCTATTAGGATCAAAAGTGACACTTTGTTTGACAAGCGAATTTTGCATTTGCGAGGCGGAGCGCTTAGCGAAGCCGAGCGAAAAGTGCACTCTATGAACAAGTAGGGTCATCTTCAGTGATAAAGACTGCTCGCCAATAGCCAAGGAACCACCCAAATTTCCGGAAAATGATATGAGGAGTCAAAATAGGTCGAAAATTACTTCAGATTCGGAATCTGGACGCCCGATTAATAGCTATTAATATTTTGCCTGGGAAATTTTCAGTTCTGGAAGATTTAATTTTATCGCACTTTTCACGGAAGCACCCCCATATCTTACGTTATTCATCTTCAGACTTTCCCTTCCTCCTGCAAATTTCAGAACCCTACCCAAATTTCCCAGGAAAAATAATAATAGCTATCAATCGGGCGTCCAGATTCCGAATCTGAAGTAATTTTCGACCTTTTTTCACTCCTAATATCATTTTCCGGAAATTGGGGTGGTTCCTTGGCTGTTGGCGAGCAGTGTATATCACTGAAGATGACTCCATTTGGTCATAGAGTGTATTTTTTGTATATCTCTCGCTCCAGCAAATTCTAGGATCCAGAACGTAACGATTACGTAAGATACATAAGAAGTGGGTCACCCTGTATATGTTTTTTTGTTCATGCCTTACACTGAATCCTGGAGGAGGAGCCTTGATTGGAGTGGGGGTCACTGGCAGCGTTAGCTCCGTGATGCTTGCCACGTCTGACGTGTTCTGTGCTCTCGGGCGAATCCAACGATAGACTCTTCATGCGCAGGTTCAGCTTCTGGCGCCTCGGAGAGTGGGGGGCTACAAAACCAGAGAGCTGTTTAGAGGAGCGACATATTCGCGCAGTCGTCATAGGGGAAACTAGGTCGGTCTGATCTTTGGGGAACCACTAAGCAGATTGAAAATGGAAATCGGAGACGAATAATCATACTCTATATTCTCTTTGGACTCCCAAAAAGGTAATCAACATGGTTTTTGAAGTCAATCATCTGAAATAGCTTCTATTGAAATGAATGAGTGTTAAATATTGCCCCAATAGACAGTAAACAACTACTTCTTTGTATTCTCGTAATCATACTCCCAAAAAGGTAATCAACATGGTTTTTGAAGTCAATCATCTGAAATAGCTTCTATTTTAACGAAAGAGTGTTTGATATTGCCTGAATAGACAGTAAACAAATCCTTTTTTGTGAGAGGGTTAGGGTGTTCTCGTAATCATACTCTATATTCTCTTTGGACTCCCAAAAAGGTTATCAACATTGTTTTTGAAGTCAATCATCTGAAATAGCTTCTACTGTAACGAAAGAGTGTTTGATATTGCCTGAATAGACAGTAAACTTCTACTTTTTTGTGTTTTCGTAATTGAGAATGAGATGGTAGGGTGGTATTTATCTGTTCTAAGTTCAGAATAATATTATTGATGTTGCTACTCTTTGAATACTGTTACTGCGATTGAGACATAGTGAGTAGATGTCATTTTCATCCCGTATTTCCATTTTCAAGCTGTTAAATGATCAGAATGAATATGGGAGATGTTGAAAAAATATAGATTATGATGATTATTCAAAGTCATGCAATGAAAGGAAGAGAACTTTGTGCTATTCGTCTATAGAATAGATTGTTGAAGAGTGTTGTTCATGCGACAATTCAAAGGAATATCCACTAATTTGAATAACTGTCCCATTTATTACAATTGGTTGTAACCCATATGAAAGGACCACTGAGAAATGACGTGGGACGTGAGTCCTCCATCATGAATTGATCATTATAAATTTGGCATCAGCAATCCCACTGAGAGAGCAACTATATGCTGATACGATCAGCATTCACTGATTCACTGATGAATATTACAAAAAATTCTCGCTTGCACAACATTATATGTTAACTAGGAAATCTAAGGATGAAAGTCAAAACCAAAACCACAAACCAAAAGTAGCTCTGTTTCAATCTATTGCTTGGAAAAAGTTCTGCTATGTATACTATTCTTTTCTGAAATAAGCGGTCAATCTAAATAGTTGGTGGACTTTCTCTAAGTGTTCTCAAGAATTTTGACGTTTCCGATACAATGTTGGTATTATCTGAAGGAATACAGATTTGGTGAAACTGCATTTATCATGCGATGAGTTTTTTATCGAAAATTTTTTTTGGTACTTACGTATTTTTGTCTGAAAAAGACGAATTTGATAATGAAAATGTGAACAAACCACTATTAATCGAGATATTTCAAGACAAAGTTCGGAATTTCACCGTCTTTTTTTTCTTGTGTTGGATGCATTTACAGGTACTTGCTCCTTTTATTTTGTCATTGGACACTTTATATACTCATGATGTACTTCAAAGACACATTTTTATATAGTAAAGTCAACAGAAAATAGGATTTTTATAGCGAGTTTCTCATATTTAGTGAACGAGCATACCAGATGACGGCCATTTAATCAATCGTCAATCGAAATACGAGATGTAAAATGTCAACAGAATACCTTTGAATGACATTACACACGCCATTATTTTGAATTAGAATTTTTTTTTAGGGCAAATTGTTCTAAATGCGATTCAGAAGGCAGGCGGAAAAGGAGGTGAAATTTGTAACTTTATAGTGGAATATCTTGATAAATAATGGTTTGTTCACATTTTCATTATCGTATTCGTGTTTCTCAGACAAAAATACATGAGTAATAGAATAAAATTCCGAAAAAAAAAAACATCAAATGATAAATGCAGTTTGACCACAGATTTGATTGATGGATTAATTGTTCATTTGTTCTTGAAGCAATGTTTCACACGTTACGTTATCTCTTTTATATCGAAACAATGAAACAACAGCTGTGTGAGACACGAACATTTAACCCATTAAGCGCCGTTGATGCGAAAACGCAACATTATATTCTGATTTTTTTTTACAGAAACTGAAACTGGAATTTTGTCCACATATTCCAGGATTATGTTTATATGAGTTTCATAATGATATGTGATTTTTCTGTGGCGAATACAACAAGTTTTGATTATCTCAATCTCATCTTGAAATTTGTGTGATTTCATTTCTCAAACATCCTATGCTGTAACACCCTGTATCTTCAGGATTTTCCAACATGTGTTTTTCGTTTTATGTTATTTTATGGAAGATGTATTGTACTTATTAGGTGACAACGAAAAATTTCAATACATCGATTTCGAAGAAAAATATAGTCATGCTAAAATAATGTTGCGTTTTCGCATCAACGGCGCAATACGGTAGTAATGGAATTTGAGTAGTGGGGGACCGCACGTAATTGAACATCGCGGACGGCAACTGAATCAGTTGCTGTTGTTGTTTCGAGTGGGTTATATCATTACTCTTGTGCATAATGTGGCGGAATCATGAACAGCATCGTGCTCTGACCCTTCAAGAATTGGAAGACGAATTGGAAGATTTGGAACCGGGAAGCGAAGTTGATGCTGTCATTATACCTCCAACTGTTGATGAGCTCACGGACGAAGAGGATATAGATGATGATATTCTGTTGGGTGAGTTCAGATATTATAATAATAAAAAAGATTACTAAACATAGATCTTTTGTTCAGGAAATTTCGTGCCTCAAGATGTAGCTGGTACTTTCGAATTATTGATCCCAGAACGGGAAGATGTTGACTCCAATACTATTTGTATTGATTCCGATGCTGGACCATCTACAAGCAAACGGACTAAAAAATCTACTGTTATCACTCCAAAGTGGAAGAAAAAACATCCAGAATATGATAAGCTACCATCATCGAATGAGGAAGTTGAGAAAAACAAACTGATAGAAATTCTAGCCGATAAATCACCTCTGGATATATTTTTCATGTTCTTCGATCCGGAGTTATTAGAAGAAATCAAGGAATTTTCTGAAAAATATGCCAAATATAATAACAGGCATGATTTTTCTCTCAATATCATGGAGTTGAAAAAATTTATAGGAATTCTGATTTTTTCTGGTTATCACACTCTCCCCCAATTAGAAATGTATTGGAGCAGAGATGAAGATAAAGGAGTAACACTAGTGAAGAACTGTATGAGTAGAAATAGATTCCGGAATATAAAAAGGAACCTGCATCTGTGTGATAATGCTCAGCTGGACAAAAACGACAAATTTGCCAAATTGCGTCCATTATTTGATGCTATAAATAAAAGGAACTTACAATTCGGATTGTTTTCACATAACCTTTCAATTGACGAAGAAATGGTTCCATACTTTGGTAGGCATTCGGCTAAAATGTTTATAAAAGGAAAGCCTGTCCGTTTCGGATTCAAACTATGGTGCCTCTGTTCGGAAGATGGATATTTATTCCAGTTTATGCCATATGGTGGCGCAAGAAAGGAGAAATCAGAAATGGGTCTTGGAGCAGATGTTGTTGTCAGTTTGATGAACGTTGTTGAACATCCTTCCTCACACAGAGTATTCTTCGACAATTTCTTCTCGTCTTATAAGCTCTTATCCTTCCTCGGTGAAAAAAACATATTTGCAACTGGAACGATTCGAGATAACAGAATTTCCAATTGTAATCTAGAGTCAACGAACATTATCAAAAAGAAAGACAGAGGATCTTTTGACTACAGATTTGATTCGAAATCAAAGTTGTGTGTGGTAAGATGGAACGATAACTCCGTTGTGACCCTCATAACTAATAACATTTCTATAGATCCAGTGCAACCTGTGAAACGTTATGACAGAAAGCAAAAAAAGGAAATCAATATACCACAACCGTTAGTGATAAAAGAATACAATAAATATATGGGTGGCGTCGACCTCCATGATAATGGAATTGCGAATTATCGTATCAGAGTCCGTGGAAAGAAGTGGTGGTGGCCACTATTCATAAATAGTCTAGATAGTGTTATTGTGAACGTTTGGAAATTATGTAAACTGACAAACCCCAAAATGACACAACTCCAAGTCAGATCGTATTTAGTAATGGCTCTGATGAAAAATGAGGAAACTTCACAGGATTCTGATGATGAAACTGAAGAGACACGCATAATGTATCAGGGTAGAGGAAGACCAACTCGAACCGAGTTACCAGATGAAATCAGGAGGGACAAAGTTGATCACATCATCTCACGTCATCCTGAAAAGGCAAGAAAGCGTTGCAGACTGTGTAAGAGTCAAACAGTGTTTATGTGTGGAAAATGTAAAGTACACTTACACTCCAGTTGTTTTCTTAGATTCCATAATGTTTAGTACGATTTGACTCTTGAAAATCATTCATTTTTGGAAATAAATTTTTTTGAATATTACACCAGTATTGGCCATTGATGCGAAAACGCAACTTTATTTTTTTCGTCACACCCTATATATGAAATTTTTTTTCGCATGGCACTACTCTATTTGAGTCCAAATAAGTCAACTAATACAATTTTTTTCTATATTCGACCCCTCATTAACTGCTTGGCGGTTAATGGGTTAATTTCATCACACTCAACTGAAACAGAGCCTGAAGAAAAGTTGAAATTGGGATCGGAAGTCACTAGGGGCCTATAATTGTCTGATTCTAATACAGACCAACATAGTGGTTCCGAAACTTTGGGCAAATGTTCACAGCACTCGTAGATGACTTCATGCTTGTTCCTGACAAATAACATTGAAAAAAAACTGTACCAAGATGTTAGAAAGGATAAAACCACACTAATCCACAAGTATCAAACAGTTGAAACACAGTGCTCGTTCTAACTACATGAACAATCGTAAAACTTTATGGGTATGTATGGTGAGATTATAGGATTTCATTTCACTCGTTTCTTGCTAGAGGGAGCACAGACGATGTTTATGGGATATATTTCGAAT